TCTTTATTATTTGCAATCTACCTGCATATGACAAGTTTCTGAGCTTTAAACAACTTTGAAATTGACTTGAGATTTTACTGAAGAGAGAACTACAGTTTTGGAAAGTTAATATCTTGCACACTAAAGGAACATCCAAATATTTGATAGGCAGCTTCCCCTCAGTGAACCCCAGGTTACTATGAATGGTGCCTTTAACAGTTTCTTCTACACCACCATAGAAGATTGCACATTTACTAGGATTGGCATCAAGACCTGAAACAGCACAGAGCTTCTAAATAGAGCTAATGTCACCTTTACAAAACATCAATAAATCATCCGCAAGATTGCACATTTACTAGGATTGGCATCAAGACCTGAAACAGCACAGAGCTTCTAAATAGAGCTAATGTCACCTTTAGAAAACATCAATAAATCATCCGCAAAGATCAAATGAGTTATTTTAAGCTTTCCACACTTTGGGTGAAAATTAAAGCTCCCATCATTCTTCAAAGAATCAAGACTTCTTGAAAGGTACTCCATCCCCAAAATAAACAGATATGGGGAGAGAGGATCACCTTGCCTTAATCCTCTTTCACTCTTGAAGTATCCATGAAGAGAGCCATTGAGTGAGATGGAGTATTTAGGAGTAGAAATACAAGTCATGATCCAGTTGATCAAAACTTCTGGGAAACCCAAGCCTTTAAGCATCTCCTCTTTAAATTTCCAGCTAATGGTATCAAATGCCTTTCTAATATCAATGTTTATCATGACTCTAGGAGAGATGTGCTTCCTGCCATAACTTTTAACCAACTCATGAGCTAATAGGATATTGTTGGTAATATGTCTTCATTTTACAAAGGCAATTTGGACTGCACTAATGAGATGCCCCATAACAGATTGAATCCTATTAGCAAGAATTTTTTATATAATTTTGTAGAGGCTATGGCAACAGGAAATTAGCCTGTAATCAGATAGAGAGCTTGGACAATGTACCTTAGGGATAAGAGTGATTGAGGTAGAGTTAATTGCTCCCAACAATTTTTCTGTGTTAAAGAAATCCTCGACTGCTTGTGTAACCTCATCCTAATAATTGACCATGCAGACGTAAAGAATGATGCACCATAACCATTTGGACATGGGGCTTTATTATCTGGCATGGAGAACACAACACTTCTGATTTCCTCTTTTGAGACTGGAGTTGATAAGCTCCTAATTTGATTTTCACTAAAAAATGGACCACTTTGAATAATCATGTGGCTAGGAGCAGATGTTAGGACAGCTTTGCCTATAAGGTTCTTGTAGTAGGAGATAAGTTCATTGACAATTTTCTTCCCCTCAGTAATTCTTACCCCCATGTTGTTACATAGCACCACAACTCTGTTCTGGTGTCTATTTGCCTTGATGACTGAATAGAAGTAACTGGTACGTCTATCCCCTTTAATACTCCAATGAATTCTAGTTTTTTGCTGATAGAAGGACAACTCACAATTCAAAAGATTGTTGTAGGTAGATAAGCACTCTTTTTCATGATTGACCAAAAGAGGATTGAGGGGATCTTCTTGCAGTTTTTTTTGAATGTCCTCTAAAGAAAACTTAGCTCTTTGAACTTATTCACTAATGTTGCCAAAATGTTTCCTGTTCAGTTCCTTTAGTGCCCCCCTTAAATGCTTGAGCTGGGCAAAAACTAAAAACATTGTATATCCTGCAACGTTAGTGTTCCAAACAGAATTAACAATTTGCAGGTAATTGCTATGATTTATTCACATTTTAAAAAATTTAAAAGACTTTTTCCCTTGTATTTCCTCTTCATAGATTGATACCACTGCACGAGAATGATCTGAAAATTTTGGGACCAAGAACTCCACAGGACTAGAATTGTATTTGTTGATCCATGAGTCATTCACTAGAGCTCTATCCAGCCTACACCAGATTCTAGTTTCATGATCTTGTTTGTTGCTCTAGGTGAATGTAGGTGTAAATTTTTATCTTCCGAAACAGGGATTTTGTTTGTATTGATAAGAATAGCTTATTACAAACTAATGAATCAAAAATTACAACAGAAGCGGAGGGAAGGTCCTCCTTGTTTAACATGGGGATTTTTGGTAGCGATAGGATGCCTTGCTCAGTTCTCACACTAAGTCTGCTTCCCTTGGACGATTCGACCGAGGTTGCTGGTGAGCTTCAGTACACAGTAGAAGCTCGTGCTGGTTGAGTCCGAGTTTCCCGAGTTCCAAATGGCGATCGGAGCCGAGAACCGAGAGTTAATGGTTCGGTTAACTGATTGAATTGGTTAAATGAATTCTGAACGAATTGCTTTTTAACTGTTCTTCTAAACTTTTCAATCTCAAACCTCTTTCCTGTTGCCAGGAGAGGTTCTTAAATAGAGGAGAGACGGCGTGGTCACTCCCTTGGATCATGGGATATGACCATCTACTGTTGGGAGATACCATGCTTCTCACTTGTACTGTGAATGGCCGTTTGAGGGGCTCAGAGCACTGTACCCTCTCTCTTTCATATCGCGGGAGCGGGAAGGCCTATCCCTGTACGTGACATTGCGGCTGCCAGATGTCCTGGTGAGTTTAGCGAGCTTGCCAACCACCGGGCTTGACTCGTGCAGACAAACTTAACTCGTGCAGGCGAGCCGAGCATGCGGGCGAGTCTAGCGACACAGTGGGTTTAACCAATCACTTGTACTGTGGACAAATACTTGATGGTCTTGGAGTACCTACGCTCCTTCCCTTCACGTCATGGGAAGTGGGAAGGCCCATCACTGTACGTGATGCTGCGGCTGCCTAGTACTCGAGCGAGTCTGACAAGTTTGTCGATTGCTTGGCGACTTGCTTGGTCGTTCAGGCGAACCTTGGCAGCTTGATCGAACTTAACTTGTGCAAGCGAGTTAAGTATACAGGCGGTATCCAACGATAGGAAAGATTTGACTAGCCACTAGTACCGTGAGCGGCTATTTGATGGGCTCTGAGTACTGTACTCCTTCCCTTCACGTCGTGTAAAATGGGAAGGCCCATCACTGTACTCGATATTGCAGCTGCTTGGTACTCGAGCGAGTCTGATAAGTCTATCGATTGCTTGGCGACTTGCTTGGGTACGTGGGTGAATCCGACTCCTGATTCCCCAGGCGAATCAGATGTGCAGGTGAGATTTCGATCGCCTGGCGGATCGCCCAGTTGAGCGGGCGAACTTCGTCCGTGAGTAGGCTCGACTAATACAGGCGAGATTCAGTCTCTCTGGAGGTTAAGGCAAATTTTACCCTCTACAAGACCCCCTTCAAAGTTTTCAGACCTACATCAACCCATGTGTGGTCTGGAATACTTTGAATAAAGAGGTTTCTGACGAATGTGGTGTGGGTTCGACTTCCTTGGCTGGGTCAAGATTTTTTGTTTGAACCTCAAGCGGTGCGATCGTGCATATGCGAGATTGGTGACGTCCGAATTAGACTTCTTCGGGAAAAATTCGGGCTCATAAGAAAGAGCCGTGTGTCCGTAGGGGGGACTCCCATGCTCGTCAATTAAGACGACGCCTCATCTTCGCGCGTTCACCTTGAGATGCGGATTCGACGCCGCCTCTTAGCCATTGATCTTGTTTGTATCCGCGTGTCTGGAACTGCCGAATCAGAACCGTTCGTTCCGCGTGGTTAGCGAATCTTGACGGTCAAGATCTTGTGTCTATGGTGTTGGTTCATCTCCTTTGTGGGAGAACCTCTACACACGTAAATTCTCTTGCTCTAAACCTCTTGGAGAGAATTCAGGCTCGCCAGATTCGAAATGGCTCCGAGAATGAGAACATGGGCTGTGAGGGCAAAGGGGAAGGCCGTGCGCCCTGATCCCATCGTTCTCTCGGATGATGAGGAGGAGGAGCCTACCTATGCTTCCTCCCAACGGTCCACACAGTTTCCTTCCCCCGACAAAGGGGTTACCCCTCTGATCCAACCTATTGCCATGGCTCCAGTTCGTCAGGGGTCCATCTCTCCGGACCCCGGGTCTATGTAGGGCCTTCTCAGGCAACTTGAGAATGGCTGCCTAGTACTCGAGCGAGTCTGACAAGTTTGTCGATTGCTTGGCGACTTGCTTGGTCGTTCAGGCGAACCTTGGCAGCTTGATCGAACTTAACTTGTGCAAGCGAGTTAAGTATACAGGCGGTATCCAACGATAGGAAAGATTTGACTAGCCACTAGTACCGTGAGCGGCTATTTGATGGGCTCTGAGTACTGTACTCCTTCCCTTCACGTCGTGTAAAATGGGAAGGCCCATCACTGTACTCGATATTGCAGCTGCTTGGTACTCGAGCGAGTCTGATAAGTCTATCGATTGCTTGGCGACTTGCTTGGGTACGTGGGTGAATCCGACTCCTGATTCCCCAGGCGAATCAGATGTGCAGGTGAGATTTCGATCGCCTGGCGGATCGCCCAGTTGAGCGGGCGAACTTCGTCCGTGAGTAGGCTCGACTAATACAGGCGAGATTCAGTCTCTCTGGAGGTTAAGGCAAATTTTACCCTCTACAAGACCCCCTTCAAAGTTTTCAGACCTACATCAACCCATGTGTGGTCTGGAATACTTTGAATAAAGAGGTTTCTGACGAATGTGGTGTGGGTTCGACTTCCTTGGCTGGGTCAAGATTTTTTGTTTGAACCTCAAGCGGTGCGATCGTGCATATGCGAGATTGGTGACGTCCGAATTAGACTTCTTCGGGAAAAATTCGGGCTCATAAGAAAGAGCCGTGTGTCCGTAGGGGGGACTCCCATGCTCGTCAATTAAGACGACGCCTCATCTTCGCGCGTTCACCTTGAGATGCGGATTCGACGCCGCCTCTTAGCCATTGATCTTGTTTGTATCCGCGTGTCTGGAACTGCCGAATCAGAACCGTTCGTTCCGCGTGGTTAGCGAATCTTGACGGTCAAGATCTTGTGTCTATGGTGTTGGTTCATCTCCTTTGTGGGAGAACCTCTACACACGTAAATTCTCTTGCTCTAAACCTCTTGGAGAGAATTCAGGCTCGCCAGATTCGAAATGGCTCCGAGAATGAGAACATGGGCTGTGAGGGCAAAGGGGAAGGCCGTGCGCCCTGATCCCATCGTTCTCTCGGATGATGAGGAGGAGGAGCCTACCTATGCTTCCTCCCAACGGTCCACACAGTTTCCTTCCCCCGACAAAGGGGTTACCCCTCTGATCCAACCTATTGCCATGGCTCCAGTTCGTCAGGGGTCCATCTCTCCGGACCCCGGGTCTATGTAGGGCCTTCTCAGGCAACTTGAGAATGCCATGAGGCAGGCGATCTCCATCGTGAGCCTCGGCTGGGGGACTTACGCTTATCTCAAACCCTACCTTATGGAATGCGTAGCTGATCTTAAGCGCCTGGGTGAAGCTCATGAGGCTTCGCGTCATTTGGTCAGGCTTCTGTGCTTCGAGCTGTTCCTGACGCGCCTGGAGACTTTGTTGCGCGTTGACCTGGCACCGAACGTGGAACGCCTTATGGCTCAGGCTCGGCTTAGAGGGGCGTAGGAGCGGGAGGAACTCGGGTCCAAACGCCAGTTGGTTGTCGATGCCATCGAGGAGAAGAGTCGAGCCCTCAAGGAGGTAAGGTTCAACATCCAAAACCTACTTTCGCGCTCTGAAGAGGAAATCCTCCGAGAGATTCTGCGGAGGCTCGAGCTTAAACGCGCGGAAGAGATTCGTGAGGTGGAGTCTCGACTGGGGGCTTTGTAATTTTAGCCGTTGTCCTTGTATTCCACTCCTTTTTTATGAATGGAATCGTACTTTCATCTCAGTCATTGTTCTCCATATTCTGCGCATGCATTTTTTTGTCGCCATCCATGCTGGGCGATATACAAGTTAACTGTCGATGAATTTGCACCGGGTGACTCCTGGCCATGGGCAAGTCCCTGCTGTAGGCGAACTTCAGCCTTAGGTGGAACTGAGAACAGTTCAAGCTTTGCTTGAATCCCAATTGGGTTCAATCTTCATGCGAACTCAAAAGTGGTTCAAACCCCAACTGTGATTAAGCCTTAGTTAGGCAGGTCGCAATAGTTCTCTGTGCATTCAAAGCTGAAGAAGCTAAATGTTCTATGTGCATTCAAAGCTGAAGAAGCTAAAGGAATCTCTAATAGGTCTAAATAAAAGACATTTTAGCAACATAAGTGAACAGGTTCTGAGAGTAAAATCTGAAGTAGATGAGGTCCAAATGAAGTTGCAATCAGATCCCCTTAACTCTCTGCTCATCAGTCAAGAAAAGAGCTGCATTTCTACATACAATAAACTCTTAGCTTGTGAGCTATCTTTTTATCAGCAAAAGGCAAGGATAACTTGGAGTATACAAGGTGACAACAATACAAGTTTTTTCCACTCAATTATTAAATCCAACAGAGACCAAAATAGGGTGTTAACGCTATATAAAAGTGTTGGTGGGAAAATTTCTAATGGAGAGGAAATTGTAAATGAGTTTATCTCTTACTATAAGAGCTTAATGGGCTCTGCAAAGCATACTTCAACTGCTGATATCAATGTTATTAGCAATGGCCCCTGCCTGATGGATAATCAAAAGAGAGAGCTTTCTATGCCAGTCACAAATGATTATGGTTCTTTGATTAAATCATGTATCTTGGTTAGTTAATTTGATTAGATGTGACCTAATTGGGGTTCTTTATTTAAAAAAAAAGGAAAAGGCCCTCGCCACAGGTTAACGATGACCGGTCACCCGTCGGACAACCCACCATCGGCCGTGGGTGGCGACGGCCACCCCAAACCCTAGCAAAAACCCTAGACCCAAAAACCTCCTTCATGGATTGAAGGAGAAGTCTAATGGGTTTTGAACCCAAATCCTATAAGAAATAGGATAAGAGCTAATGGGTATTGACTCATTTCATATAAACCCAAAATCTAAATGCTATTATGAATAGGATATATAATAACAGGTCTAACCCACAAACAAAACCAGACCCGAACCTTATTAGATTTGAATTTTATTGTAAAATTAATTTGAGACCCCTGATTGACCCAGAAACTGTTATGAAGTCCATTAGGTTCTCAAATACGCTATAAAATTAGCTATAGCTCCCTGATAAATTCAGAAACTTTTTTGAAGTCCACCAGTATTGATAAATAACTGTAAAATTAGTTACAGATCCCTGTTTGATCCAAAAATTATTCCGAGTCTACTAATATATTAAATTTGGTGTGAAATTAGATTCAGTCCCCTGATTGATTTTGAAACTGTTTTAAGATCCATCTGAATATATAGACTAATTTTTGATTAGTCCCTAACACTTGTAGAAATTGTTTTGAAGTCCATATACATGTATAGTTTAGTTTCTTTTATTAAAAAGATTATCTAACTCGTGTTGAATTGTTAAAATTGATATTGTATCATGTATATTTCTGAAATATTGTTTGTATTATACAAGGGATATGATTGTGTTGATTTTAAATTGTTTAAATTCAATAATTCATGTGATTAAAGTAGTACATGAAAAATTATTGTTATGTCCAAAATATGTTCTGAAATATAATTAAATACAAACAGTTGAGAATTTGTTAGAAATTGACTGTTTATTGAATTCATAAATTATGTGCTTTCTCAGTTATGATAAATAACAAAAGTTGTATAGAAGTTAGATAGATTATTATTTAAAGAAATGAGAATCTAAAGGTCTTCCATCACAGAGGTATAACTGTTGGCCTCTTTGTTTTGATGATGTTTAACAAACAATTTACCACTAATGTTGTTTGTCTAGTGTTGGTATATTTTTATTTATTATAGACAAACAACGAGTTGGATGATGGATGGATTGCGCCATAACGATCATATCAAATGGAGGTTGGTGGAATGTCGGGTTGAAGCCTTGCAATTCAAAGTTAAAGATCAAGTTCAAGCTTCATCCGCATGTGTACCAAGTTGAGCTACAATGAAGATCAAGATCAAGCTTGGGTAATCTAGTTTAGATTTTATATTATGTGTGTTAAGTACCTTAAGCTCAACATCATATACACACACGTATTTGGTTTCTATGTATATATATAGTTTTACAAAACTGATGAGTTTTCACAAATGGGAAGTGATATTTGAAAAATTCTTTCTCTGACATGTTTATCTACATGTTTAGAAAATTTCGTCCAGTTTTTACTATTTTTGGAGTTGATTTACTGTGCCCAATTGATTTTACAAAATCGTGTATTCAGCAGTTTTTCAGAAACTGTAAATCTGTGTTCAAACATTTATTTCTCTCAACTGGAAAATTATTTTTTAGAAATTCTTTCTCTAACATGTTATTCTACATGTCTATAACCTTCCCACAAAAGTTTATATTTTTTGGAGCTGTTTTACTATTTTTAATTGATTTTACAAAGCTGATATGCAGTGCTACAGTACCCGCGGTCGACCGGTACGGTCGACCGCCAAACTCTCTGGACGTTACTCAGCTTTGCATATGGCTCACGGTCGACCGTACCGGTCGATCGAAATTACTGTAGCAGCCGCCCGTTATACAGTAACGGCTGTTGCTTTTTTTGTTTTGTAATGGTTTTTTGGGTTGGTTTCTTCAAGCCTATATATACCCCTTTGCCATAACTATTTTCTATCATCCAAGAGAGTTTTTAACCAAGTTTAAAAGAGTTTTAACAAGGGTTTTCATTTGGTTTAAGTGTGTTTAAGAAGCTTTTAAGCATTTGGAAGTTTGAGTTTGAGAAATCAATTTCACAAGAGCTTGAGGAGATCATCTATTGGTGTTTGGGCATCCAACTATTCTCCTTCTACCTCTTGATCTATTGAGAAGTTTTCTAACTCTTTTCTCTAGCAATTTTATTATTGATTTTCATATTCTTATTATTGCTAGTTTGCTATTTGAGTTAGATTTGATTTTATCTCATTGTTACACACACCCAATTGAGCTTATTGTATTTGCATTCATAATATTTTTGGGTTGGTGAGAGTTGTGACAATTGAGTGTGAGCTTTCATTGTGTTCTCATCCATAGTAGAGAACAAACATTTATTGTATTGAACCTTATTGTGAGATTCACTTTGTAATACACTTGTACACCGAGAGAAGTGTGTGGCGAGAGTCGGGGATCGTCCCAAGAGGAGTGGCGTCGGTTAATGAACCTAGGGAGAGGCTGTAACCGAGCACTTGAGGGAGACACGTCTAGTTCAACACTTGAGAGGGTGTAGAGTAGGATTACAGAGTGGTGATTGTAAAGTTTTCGGTTAGCTAGAAAACCGAGTGTGAGGTGTAAACGTTATTCGGGTGAACGTAGAAAACCCAGTTATGATAGTGGATTTCTCCCCGGGAGTGGGGAGTGGAGACGTAGGACGGAAGGTCCGAACTCCGTGATCATACTGCTTGTTTGAGTTTGTCTTTGGCGTATTTGTTTTTGCATTCATCTTATATCGCCAATTGTGCATTGCTCATTTATTTCATCCACTATCTAGTTCATTTTGTTTACCCTTGTGTTAGTTTACATATCCTTGCATATATATTTTTATCATATAGGATATATCTCTTTGTTGTTCATATTGCTTATCCTAGCTTACATATCTTGTTGTATTTCATACTTGCTAGGATAACTTATTAATTAATTTTAATTGGCATTTAATCGGATTAGATTAGCATAAGACCCTAATCAACCCCCCTCTAGGGTCTAACAATTGGTATCAGAGCTTGGTGCTCTTTGATTTAAGGTCTAATCGCCTTGAGTTAAAGATCCAAGTTATCTTTTTGTGCTAATCTTATTCATGTGATCTTTGTGGTCGTTTTGGTCATTTGGCCAAATATTATTTTGATTTGAAAAATAAGTCTTATTTGCCAAATGTTTCTAGTAGACCACATGTTTTTAAATGTGATGTTTGTGGTAGGTTTGGACATCTTGCTAAATTTTGTTTTGATTTGCAAAATGCTCCAAATTTGTAATTTGCTCCAAAAAGACCACCTTTTGTTTAATGATGTTTCTCATTTGCAAAATAATCTTAAAAGAAAATATTTATTTGCAAATGATTCCCGTGCACGATCTAATGGTCCACAAAAACAAATGGATCTCTTTTATTGCACAAATTGCAATCGGAAGGGTCATTTGAGTAATTATTGCTTTGACCGTGTTAGTGCACCACATATGCCCAAGAGGGTTCATAACCCTAGGGCTTTGAGCTTAAATGATAGGGGTCATGTCCCTAACCAATCCGGCACCAAGAATGCTTGGATGCCGAAATGATTTTTCTTTTAACCAAGAATTTTAGTGTTCTT